ATAAAGAATAATTTAACACAACGGCATGATTTATAGAAGAATTTGCATAATAAAAATGATTTTTCATGCGTTCAACAATTTCGCGGTTTTCTCCGTTCTCTTCGTTGTTTACTTCTTACAACAAAGATGGCGTCGAGATTTCAACAGCTAGAAAATAACTTTTTTCTTTCTTTCCTTAAGGCGTGATCTTGTGTCTTTCGTTCATGCGAGTCCGAGGAATACGGGATTGCACCACGATCCAGTTGCCAGTTGCTCTCAGCTCGATTGGCGCAATCTTGTATTCTATCATTCTTGGGATTGCACCTTATACAAGGTGTGCTGTCAAATCAGTAAAAGCAAAAACAAGACATGAACCAAAAAGACAAGATCACGCGGGCAGGAGTAGCCCGTTAGAATCGCATTAAGGAAAAAAGTTGAACGATTTTGACATTAGCCGTTTATTTACATTTCTTCGTTCTTTACAATTTGGTGGTGGCTTTTTACTGCAATTTTCTTCATTTTCGCTTGTGACAACGTGTGTACACATAAGATAAAGAATAATTTAACACAACGGCATGATTTTTAGAAGAATTTGCATAATAAAAATGATTTTTCATGCGTTCAACAATTTCGCGGTTTTCTCCGTTCTCTTCGTTGTTTACTTCTTACAACAAAGATGGCGTCGAGATTTCGGCAGCTAGAAAATAACTTTTTTCGTTCTTTCCTTCCCGCGTGATCTTGTGTCTTTCGTTCATGAAAAACAAGATACATGTAAGGCGCAGAAATCAGCTGATTTTACAGCACCACCTTGTATAAATTCGCCTTGAAACACTTCATTTTGACCAAGGCGAATTTAGTAGGAAGTATAAATTCGCCTTGCCTTGTACCGAATCTAAAAATCACAACAAAAAAGCAATAATGGATAACACGCAAGGAAATAAAAACAGCTGTTGCGAAAACAAATGGGATATAAATCCTTCTGGCTCTTATCTAGATTAAAACTTTTCAAACTTAATTAAAATTATGTTGCGAAACAACCAGAAAAGCATAACTCGTTTGTTCGGACACTTTGAAGGGATGTTCCAACGCAACTTTGCTTCGAACATCCGTCGAAGTAGCAAGTCCATGACGTCAAAGAACAACATTCACGCCGTCTCCCCACCAGAAAGTGCTAATGGACTAGAAGTGCCTCAGGAGGAGCCAGTGAACGCACACTATTTAAAATGCCAAATAGGTAAGTGGAGTAGACTACAACGTTGGCTTATAACTAAAAACCTTCTTTTGTAATAACTATTCAGGCTCCACTCATCGTAGATGGAATGCCGTACTAGAAAAGCATCCAGAATTGAAAACCGTTAAACGACAAGACGCAGTTAACACAGCCAATGCTTTGAAGAGGTTAAATTTTGATGTCGAAACAATACTCACAAAGCCATTAATGCTATATCAAAATGCCCTAACAGTCGAGAATCGTTACCAAGTTCTTCATGAGTGTGGTTTTCAACCCATCACTCTGGTGTTGTTGTCGAAATACATAACTGTTTTAAATAAGACAGTTTCTATGTTGAAATCCCATGGATATATCCCATTCGAGTCAAATGTATTGGAAAACTTATGTAACAGTTTCAATGATCTGGAGCTACCCGCCGAAAGATTTAAGGATTTAAACGAAGCAATACATTTAAAATATTTTCGAGAATGCATACTTAATGCATATCTGCGGCAACGTTTAGATACGAACGACAACGACATTAAAAAACTATGGCAAGTGTACCACCGTGTGCGCCACCGCAGTTTCAAATCAGTCCAATCAGTAGTGCAGGTGCTGCTCGAAGATCTACGATTTCCAAAAGAGCGTATAATTAAAAATGCTTACCTATTATATGGTGATGCGGATAATATTCGACGCATTATCAAAGAAATTGTAAGCATAGATGGGCAGGATATGCGCGATATTGTCTATCGACGTCCGAAGATATTAATGTCTTCCTGTGATGGATTGTTGAAAACACTTGAACATGTAAAAGCGTATGGCATTTCTGAATCGGCAGTCACAAAATGTTTGGAAATATTGACACTTGGATCGGATACAGTATTGGAACGACTGAAAGACCTGCACACCATTGAGGAATTCAAAGTGTTGGGCACCAACCCACGTGTACTTCGGCTGGTACATTACCAAAACAAAGCTCGTTTGCGCCTAGAATACCTGAATCAGCTAAAGGTGCGTTGTGCCTCGTTACACATTTTATCAGGGGGCTCGGAAAAGTTTGCCAAGTATGTTGTGCCTACGTATCTTAAAAAAAATGTTATCCTTATAACATTTTTCTTTGCTTTTACAGATTTGCACGCGAGGGAACCGATCGCACTAAAGGCCGTGATGTTGTAGTTTATTTGGCAAACATTTTGAAGAAAGACGAAAATGATGTGCGCACATTACTTGCAAGACATCCAAATTGGTGTCACATACCGGTGTTGCAACTAAAGCAGTGTTTTGATTTTTTACAATCGAAAAAGTTTCCAATATCGGCCATTTATGATAACATCCACGTATTATTATACCCCATGTAAGATTTAACATTTTCAGAATATCTCTTAAAAAAAAAAAAAAATTAATTTGCAAAATTTCCTAATTCGCAGACAACGGATAGAAGAGAAGCTTATGCAACTACAAAACCCAGAAGTTCTGGAAGAATTACAACTGCCGGTGAACAGCATTTTTTATTTGGATAACCATGAAATGCTCACACTCATTCTTTACTTAATCGAATGCGAATTCCATTTTACTGGAGATGGCATTTGGACGGAACAACAAACTCAACCTGTGGAGAACTTTAACAACCTACTGCCTGATTTTCCTGAGGGCCTAAACAAAGTCTATAAATACGGAATTAAACCCGCCGAAAGCAGCAGTTCCACAGTACAAAGATCCGACTCAGTAACTGTGCAAAATTGAAAAGGTGTAAATATTAAACTTACAGATACATATGTACTATGATCGAAGTAAACGAAAGACATCGGTGTCTTATATTTCTACCATTACTTTTTAAAATACAAGGCACTGCTACTTTGCACTCACGCGATTTTGATCGCGATAACAAGTGCGAATATGTATGAAACTACTATATTCGATTTGGAACGCTCGCATGCCGACCATACGCGTTTACATAGATGTTTGATGTATATATACATATGTTTAAGTATGTATGTATATGATATTATATCCAGGCCGATTCTGAACAGAAACTTCCCGGGAGTTTTCTCTCTTATCCTTTACTCCCATCATGAATAAAAATTCCTTGAGGATTTTTTATATTTAATGGCGGAGTTGAGCTCTCAAAAACTCTTTCCGAAGTTCGAATTTCCTCCTCAAAAGTTTTCGGGGGAAATGCTACTCCTGGGTGTTATTATTGGGGGATTTCTTTCTCGGCAGAAACAAATTCCCGGAGAACAATCTCCCCGGGAGTATTAAGAATTGGCATGTATGTATCAGCCCAATTCTTAATATTCCCGGGGAGTTTGTTCTCCGGGAATTTGTTTCTCCCGAGAAAGAAATCCTCCAATATTTAGCACCCAGAGATATCATTTTCCCTGCACATTTGGGAGGAGGAAATTTGAACTTCGAAAAAGCTGTTTGACACTTTTGACAGCTCATTTTATTAATATTTTAATTTAATATAAAAAATCCTCTGGAAATGTTTATTCATGATAGGAGGAAAGGGGAACGAGAGAAACTCCCGGGAATTTTCTGTTCAGAAATGGCCTGTATATGTATTTGATTTTTTAACCGACTTCAAGAAAAGGTAAAGGTTATCAATTCGACGGAATGTTGTTTTTTATTTTGTGTATGTTACCGCATAACTTTGGACCACGTTAACCGATTTCTCTAATGCTTTTTTTTAGAGAAAAGGTGTTACCTCGCAGGTGGTCCCATACTAATTTGAGAATTGAAGTCGTTTTTTTTTGCCTAAAAATTATTTGTTTTGTTGAAACAAATATGTATAAGTATTTATGATTATATGATGCCCAAGAACACAAGTTTAGTGGAAGATATTTCTATTAAGAGCCAGACACATTTAACCTTAAATGCTATTCATCGGAACATGTACATTCACTTCAACTCTGGATCGTCATTTGATACTGCGGGTTCTGATTCAGTGACATCTGCTTCATCGTCATGCTTAACAGTGATGGCTGTATGTTTAATAGAACAATTTTTAAGTTTGTCCAATATTTCTTTGTAAGCAGGAGAAATAGGTTTTTGAACTACTTCTCTGTACGTGTACTCCGAATCCTCATTTAGCTTTACATAAGTAAGAAATCGGTTACATTAATTTTATATACATCAAATAGAGCTATTTTTGTCTCAATACTCACATTCAAACTGTACGACATATCCGAATCGAAGCCTCTTAGATCACCGCACACAACAAACGGTATAAGTTTTTGATTTACTTTCGAGTCGGTTGCATTAACTATCATTTGCACATCGTCGACCATAGGATTGATCATTTGTGGAATGTAGCCATCTGGACATCGATAGTTTTGGCACACGACAAACGCTTCAATACTAGAATTACGCGAGCTTGCAGGTTTGGCAATTGATACTTTCTCGAAGAATATGCGCAACTGGGAGTAAAGTAAACTTGTGTCTTTACCGCGGAAAATCTTAGCCACGAAATTTCCTCCAGTCATTAGCACGTGTGTGGTTATACTAAGTGCAGCTAGCAGCAACTGGCTTTGAATGTATTCGTCGATATCATGTAGACCAGTAACATCAGGTGCGCCATCACAAATAACCAGCTGTGCCTTTTGTGATTCACCACCAAAATGGTCAATTATTGCCTGGGCAGTGCTTAATTTTGTTATATCACCTTGAAGCTGCGTAACTCCAGGCAATGGTGCCATTGCTTGCAAATCTACTGCGATAATTTTGACCTCCTCATTGTTAGTACGATTTTCATAGAGACGTTTGGAAAGCACCTGCGTCCAGCTACCAGGTGCAGCGCACAAGTCTACAGCGCGTGTGACATCTTGTAAACAAAGAAATTCTGTGTAAAAATTATGAAAAGGAAACCATTGCAACAATACCTTTCAAAATGTGGAACTTTTCATCGATCTGCAAAAGTTTAAAAGCGCTCCGAGCTCTCCAGCCCTCTTCTTTGGCTAGTCGATAGTAAATGTCTCGCTTGTCTTTAGATGTTTTTCCCATTCTAAAGCTTCACGTCGATTTATTAAATTTTCACTATTTTACTTATTTCTTTTCATACAGTTTTACCTTTTATTTTTTATTGACTTTGCATTTTTTAGATTACATACGTCTTTTCCTCTTTCGCAATAAAATAGAACTGGAGAAACATCGATGGAAACGATACATCGACTATTTAAACATCAAATTAGTCTGTTCCAATAGCAGTCCGGTTTACAGGATTTAGTCAGAACTTACAGGAAGTCGTTCCTATTGACATAAAACCTGTAAGTGGGAACACATTTGAGAGAGTAACTGAG